TATAAGACTGACATTGAATTTGAATCCTGATTAAATGAATAGTAATCGTTGCAACACCATACAGTATATGAGATACAGCCGGCATCCTTGATCCTAGAGCAGATCTCTCTATGAAACACAGCATTAATTCTAACCATGTTCCTCTTTGTCTTCTCTGTCTCTCAGGCCCCTCAACAGATGGGCACATTGGCGTTCTACAGGTATGAGCAGCCCATCGTGGACTACTGCCAGGCTCACCAGCCCTTGCACATGAACAGGGGCTTTGAGCCCCCGTCCCAGGCCCTGGAGGGGCTGGGGGCACGAGAACGCTGCGCCGTCCCGTCCGCTGGCCTCCTTCCTTCCGTGCCTGCAGCCCCTCAGTCAGACATCCGCACCCTCCCGCAGTGAGCCGGAGATGGACTCGTCCCTGTCGCCTGGATGTCCCCGGAGGGCCTATACGCTCTACCCTCAACATGAACCCACCACGAAACTGATGTAGAGATATACGGGCCAGTGTGATGGACTACAGACTCTCAGGAGAGGACAGGATCGACTCTGTCTTTGTCGCGAAGTGGGTTAAAACACACTCTGGTTTGTCATTCGCAAGGATCATCTTTGTACTGTACGATCGATGTGTTTGGAACAATCTAACAGGATGTTTATTTTAGGGGAGGTGGGCGAGCATTTTATCCCGATGCTTTTAGCCCTCTAAATGTTTCAAAAGCATCACGTCTCTTAATTAACATCAAGGCCTTTATTGACTCAAGAGCATGCATACTTTGAAAAAGCAAACATTGGAAACTAAACCCGAAGTGATTAAAAGTAAAATGGATTCAAGAAACCGGAGCAGCAACAAGCAAAGGAGTTTTTGAGCTCAAATCCCTTTTATCTCTTTCTAATAAGGCCTTTCAGAGGGACTCCTGCCCCATGAAGTCAGCGATAATTGCTTTATATAAAAGTTCCCAAATTTAATTCCTCAAGGTGAGCTGGCGCATTTGAATTGTAAATGATAATATGACCCTCACTTGACGGCTTCTCCATTGTAAATCTTTAAAACGAGTCTTGATGGTTTGGTGATGTGATGAAAGACCCCATCACGCCATGCTGATTTTACTCTGAAAACCACTGACGGCTGTGATATCATTCAACACCGACTGTGGAAAATGTCTGACACAATCTGTGAGGTATCACGTTGAGTTTCCTTTCACTTATCGGATGTTAACACCTGGGTCATTCCTTGCCTTGACTTTGTGGTACTTTCATTTATTTCAATAAAATCGTCAATCAGGTCAAGATCAGGCACTTATAGTAAGTAATCACACCATGAGAATGGTATTTTTAAAATATTTCATTTTTTTTTTTCGTTTGTAAAAAGCATTTTACCAATAACTAACAGAATGGAAAGTCGAGTAAATATAACATGATTATTATTGTCACCATGGCACGAACGTTTACATGACGATGATACTTTTCGATATTGTCTTTTAAAAGTGTATCAAGCAGGATGTTGTTTCCCTATAAAACTACGTCACTTCGCAAACTTCTTTTTGTAACAAGCCGATTAACAGAGTGGAAATCGAGGGCACATGGAAATTTACAATTAAAACGACTTGTTTTTGGGGACATGTCCAGCATAGCAGGAATGACCCACCCACATCTGTTGTCGAAGCCTATTGGTCGCATCCTTTACGTACCCATTAAGAAAGTGGATGTATGCTACAGTGTACTACGTTAGTACCCATCATCATCTTGCCCATTTGTTTCATGCAACATTGTGCCGTATTTCGCAGACGCCTGGACGATCCATTTCAATGACTTTCTTTCTGTTTTGCCACAACTCACATTCCAGCTGGAACTGTATAAATAAAGACCATCGGAGTGACCTCGAGACGCTACAAAGTGGGAGGACGCTCTTCCCAGACTGGACTAATTGTCTTGTACATATGTAAATTAAAACAAGGATGTCTTTGCTTCTACAGAAACACAATCTTGTTACCTAGAAGAGGAGCCTTATCTTTAATCCAGGAGGAAGTGAACATGCGTTCTGAGTGCGTGCGTGCGTGCGTGTGTGTGTGTGCGTGTTAGCGCGAGTGCATGAACTGAAAGTGCGAATGGAAAAAGAAAGAGAAGATGGCCTGCTGTTTGAAAAAAATTTTTACTTTACTTTGCAATTTTACATAATTGCAACATATGTTCGACGCATCTGTCAAGTGGCACGGTGCGTCAAACACCTGTCCTCTAATAATGATTACAGTGATTTTCCAACCAAATGTTTTTATACCAGTATTTATGTGAGAAGAAAAAAAAAGAAGATAACTAGTATATACTTTTACATTTTACATTATCCCGACCCCTTCAATGCAATACTTGCGTCTGCGGAAGGACCCTCTTCAGTTCTGATGCCATGATTGTGATGATTATTTTATGCATTTGACTGTGTTTTCCTGTATCTTAACAATGAGGTCGATATATTTCCTTTTGTCTATTCAACAGTTATAAAGCGTAAATTTGTTTTTTTTAATATGCCTGTCCGTCTCTTATTTTCTCTATTCTGAGGACGTTGATCTAGTATAAATACACGTAGAGTTTATGTGTTTTTGCACTGTTGAACATCTAGGCCCGTATTCCAGAGATGGGGACTCGAGTTTGAGACTCGGACTCGAGTCGCACTTGAGTCACACAAACGCTGACTTCAGACTTGACTCGTGACTCGACCCAAAAGACTTGTCAGCAACCTGTTTTCATGCAATTATTGCTTTTTTAATCTAAATTCATTTTAATGTATTTCTATTTTCTTTTATTGGCACATACGTTGGGGAAGCGTATGATAAGCTGCATGTCCCCCGCCCTTTGTCATACTGTGCATGAGACAGAGCGTATTTAGGCCACGCCCACAGCGGGGGAAAACAATCCAACCGTCTCCATTGACTTTGCGTCTGTAGATTTCTCATAAATTCAACAAAAGTTGGCATTGTAAATCATCCCGCTGCTCCGCGATCTGCACCGTCATAACAGACATCGCTAGAAAGCTCTCTCTCTCTCTCTCCCTCTCAATGTTGTCGGATCCAAATATGGTCATTTCCTTTTAATCAGCAACCAATCGTGAAAGTAAAAGGGGGGATTTAACTCTAAATGAGCAATCTCATTGGCCTGATGGAAATCTTTAGATCCCGTTTTGCGTTTTCTCAAAATTACTTTTCTCCCAAACTCCAAGTCTGAAATCTCCACTTCAGTAGCACCTACACTCTAAAAAATGCTGGGTTGTTTTAACCAAACTTTGGGTCAAATATGGACTAACCCAGCCGTTGGGTTAAATTTTTACATTACATTTTTAACCCAACATTTCAGGTTTGTCCATAATTGACCCAAAATTGGGTTAAAACAACCCAGCATTTTTTAGAGTGTATATACCAAACCTAATACACCAAACTGTCCAGTCTTGTACCTAGTTTTATTATGAAGACTATTACATATGGATTTGTAAATATATTATTCTTGATTTATATAACATTGTTTTTCTAAAAACATGGCGAAAATCTATTTAGGATATCCATAAATATCTATTTTTCCCCCATCTATTACTGTATGTGAACACAATGAAAAAAATATTTTAAACCTGGCTTTGTCCAATAGGCTATTCAGATTTTTTATATATATATATATATATATATATATATATGCAAATTCGCACATATTTAATTAGACAATGCCTAATAATTTAAGACTTGAGACTTGACTTGGACTCGTGGCAAAAGACTTGAGACTTGACTTGAGCTTGCCCCTCAAAGACTTGAGACTTGACTTGGACTTCCAAAAAATGACTTGTGAACATCTCTGCCATATTCATAAAGAGTAGCTCCATTGTCCTAATGGTTTTTGGATATTTTACTGTAAAAATCCTACATATTGTACCTTTAAAACCGATGAGAGAGAGAGAGAGTGGTAAAAGAGTAAATTAGAAAAGACCTTACAGTTAAAATCACTCATTTTTCTCTTCTTGGACAACCAACCAATCACAGTCTTCAAAAGTCGGCCCCACCTCCTCACTAAGATGAAAGTTTTTGTCTTTTCCTTACTCAGAGTTGCGAATCACCCTTAAGCTAAGACTCCTACATAAAAGTTTTTAAGCTAAATTAAGAGTTTTCTGAGAGGATTCCTTATTAATACGGGCCTATTATTCACTGTTGAACATCGCCGTCTGACTTCATGAGCACCGTGTTTTTGAGAAGCCATAGAAAGTTCAACCATTATGCAAATATTCCATTGAAAGCCCATTATTTGGTTACTGAGGCAGTGCATATAATATTTTCTTAAAATGTTTCTGCAATTGTAGTGTGTTTCAAGCCCTAATCCTGAACATTAAGGAAGCAGAAGTACGCTCCAGTAAAGGTAAAAGCCCAAACGGCATGGCGGTGATGAATGGTTATGTATTCCTCCACATTCAATACGACGTTTCACCTACACTTCATTATAGCGCGTGCATCCATCAAAACCTCCGTCGGTTTGATCACCTTCAATCATAGACGCTTGTACTCGCTCAATTTGACATTTAGGCTCTCACCTTCTGAGAATTCTCGAATTCTTCGCCCATTAAGTTTTATTCCTCCGGGAAAGAGTCGTCAATGGTGTAAAGCAGCCGTGAGCGGAGAGGACATGAGAGAAAAGAGCCCGTCTAGTAAAGATGCTCAAGCCCTTTACAGCAGCATGCTAACAAATATGTGCTATATATAGGGAGTAACAGCCCGTCCCTGTTGACTATTAGATTTCAATTTGCCACTGCTTTATTCACAGGGGCTAGTTTTGAAAAAGCGCGGACACAAGTTCCTGGCGCAGCAGAAATTGTTTCATGTTTCCCAGCCGTTTGGACAAACGGTGCATTGTTAGAATCGAACGAAGGGTTTCTTTCCTCCACACTCGCAAAAATAAAGGTTATTTGACGGATACGTGATAAACCTTTAACATCAATGGAACCTTTTCATTCACCCAATAGAGGCTTCTGATTTTATTAAACGTTCTTCGCACTTAAAAAATAAAGGTTTGTTTGAGATCCAAATATGAAACCTGTATTTTTAAGAGTGTACCAGCACTTCGTGGTGGGGACAGTTTGAGATCACGAAATTCAAGGGGTTGTTTGTCATAGTAATGACCTGGTTATCCTCCTCCATCTCATGAGAAGACAGAGACTAATTCAAGAGCCTGTATCTCTGCGAAAACATGACCGCCGTGCCACAGTGAATCCTTTTTAATGTGAGAGTGATGTATGAGGAGAAAGGTTCAGCTTAAGACCTTGGTGAAACTCAGATAAAACTTCGACTATTGCAGCCCCTCGTCTACAGGAGGGATGGGACAGCTGCTTTGAAACTCATATTCATCAAACAAGAAGTGACTGGTAAAAGACTTTAGGCAAGAGTCAAGCTAAAAAAGAAGAAAAATGGATAATTTAGTTCAATACTTAAAGGACAACTCCGGCGCAAAATGAACCTTTGGTCTAATTGCACATTGTTACCTATTCAACCGTTATCTGAGATTTTTTTTCATGATTGCCGAATGTAAATAGTTTTATCTATTAAAACAGTTTAGCCTATAATGCTAGTATAACGCTAGTCTATAGGGCATAGAGTAATGACAAATAAAAATCGCTTTTTATTACCACTAACAAGGCTCAAAATAGCCCCACAGTAACATGGTAGCACAATAAGGATCCCTACATGCAAAACGAAGCGTTGAGAACTTTGTCAGTGTCCATACAGTTTAATAAAAAGATATTTTATACACACAGTCAACTTCACGAATACAGGAAGAAGCCATCTTTAAAATATAGTCTCTACCAGTCGATCTACGAACGCTGATCCAAGTGCGCTGAACTGTGCAGAATCTTATATGGTCCATTGTTTCCAGAAGAAACACAAACACGAACCATTTTCTTCTCTTTAATATGTACATGTTGCCTACTGTTCGCGCTCACATTATCACTTTATTCACATCTCACCAGCGCACTTGGATCGGCGTTCGTAGATCGACTGGTAGAGACTATTTTTCAAAGATGGCTTCTTCCTGTATTCGCAAAGTTGACTGTGTGTATAAAATATCTTCTTATTAAACTGTATGGACACTGACAAAGTTCTCAATGCTTCAGTTTGAATGTAGGGATCCTTATTATGCTACCGTGTTACTGTGGGGCTATTTTGAGCCTTGTTAGTGGTAATAAAAAGCGATTTTAATTTGTCATTACTCTATGCCCTATAGACTAGCGTTATACTAGCATTATAGGCTAAACTGTTTTTATAGATAAAACTATTTACATTCGGCAATAATGAAAAAAAATCTCAGATAACGGTTGACTAGGTAACAATGTGTAATTAGACCAAAGGTTCATTTTCCGCCGGAGTTGTCCTTTAATGTAGCAAGTTATAGTTACAGAAATAAATGGGTAACACTTTACTTTAAGGGGTGTGCATAAGACTGACATGACACCTTCATAATCTTGACATGATGTCTTGAATATGAAGTAGGGTTATATAAAGTGTTACCCAGTTTGGTGATTCTGTTTTAAAATTTAATAAGTTAAATTAAACGCATGCATTTACACAAATTCATGCAATGAAGTAAAAACAGCAATAATGAGGTATATTTATTATGCAATCAAATGACATGAGGGACATGCACATGATGTTTTGTTTTGGTTTTGATTGTTCTTTTGGCACTTTCCGTGACACAGAACAGGGAAAAATCAAAGCTTTGTTGTTTCTGAATGTATTCAGTACATGATTTCCCCCTCATCTTCCTTGCATTATGCATGCCGTTTGAATTTCTCTCGCACAACTCATAACATTTTTTTACTGATAATAATGGAACACTCTTATCTTATGTTGCTTTCATCTTCCCATAAAATGCCGATCGATGTCATAGATCTCACCTTAAATAATTGCTGCGATGTTTATCATGTCTTGGTTTATACCTACAGCACCATGCAAAACATTAAGAGTGATTATTCTCTGTGAAAGCTACCGTTTGAAATCCTGACACTTTCATCTGAGTTCTGTTATGCTCCGATATCGGCAGAGATGATCACAAGCCAAATGGAGCTGATACAGTACTCAAAGCTTTTAACACGGCTTAGGTTTTGCCCCCGATGGCTCCAAAGCCACAGTTTTACAAAATGAGGCCTTTCTTTCATTATACGGCACAGTGCGCCCGTTTTTTTTTTTAAGTCAGAAGTCAGTTTGTTTGTAAATTTCCCTCATAACTGTGTTAAAGGGGTCATGAACTGGCTTTTTAAATTTTATTATAGTGTTGTCTGATGTCAACTTATGACATTCGCTTGGTTTTTACATTCAAAAACATCAAAATGAATAAGCAATAGGCTATTTTCTACCCTAGTTTTGAGTCTAGCTCAAAAACGCTCGGTTTTTATGGGCGTCTCGCACTGAAGACATGGAAGTAAACGCCCACTGCTGTGAGTGGATAACAGTTTTGCATATTATAATGAGTTTTAACTCACCCGTCGATGCACTTGAGGGA